CTCTGTGCTGCCCCCACACCCGTGGGGCCCGGGCTGCCCGGGGGGCTCCTCTGTGCTGCCCCCACACCCGCGGGGCCCGGGCTGCCCGGGGGTTCCTCTGTGCTGCCCCCACCTTCAAGGCACTTTGGAAACGCAGCATAGAACGTTTTAGGTTTAAAGAAGGAAGAACGACGACGAAACTGCGGATCACAGTCAGAAAACCAGCAAAATGCTAACGGCTGGCCCCCGCCTGCCCCTCGGGCTTATAAAAAAGAGTAACGGCAGAGATCCAGTGTACAAATACAAAAAAAATTGTGCATCATAAATGTACTCTAATACTGTACATACAGCATAAACCGTTCAATGAGAATGACTTAAATATACCTATTTGTCTCCTGACTGGGAAGACAGAAGAATAAAGTCCTATGATCCTAGAATATGCATCTAAACCTTTTTCTGAGAGGTTGAATCACGAGCCAACGGTATCCCTGAAAATATTTATCCAGAGTCAAATATTTACTTAATGGAAGCCATTACTCAAGGGGTTGCTGGTTATGATAAACTAGGCGAAGAAAACCACGCTATCTAAACTCAGCCAACGTTAAATCCAGACAGAGTTCTTCCCATCTCCTGACTTGCTGCTGGCACTGCTCTTGTTGGAGCCTGCTTTGGATTTCTTCTCTCGGGAGGCGCCGGGGTTGTTTTGGTTGTTGTACGCCTGGATGGCGAGGTCCAGGCGCTCCTGAGCCACTTTGATCTCCCTCTGCAGGCTCTCCAGGTCGGCGGGAATGTTCTCCTCGTTGCTGCCGTACTGCTGCTCCTGGGCGATGTTGGCTTTGTTCTGCTTGTAGGCCATCTTGGCGTTGGACAGCTCGGTGTACTGCAGCTGCTCGGGCTTCACCGCGATGTTGTAGCCCGGGGGAGCGGACGGCGTGTTCCAAGTGAAAGGGTAGTTGTAGGTCCCGGCGTCTTCCAGCTCCTGCCTCTTGTTGTTCAGCGTGTCCCGGATTGTGCCGAATCCCAAGTGGAGCATCTCCCAGACGTTCAAGAGCAAACACATGCAGCTCACCCCGTACATGATGAGCAGGAAAATGGTTTTCTCGGTTGGTCTGGAGATGAAGCAATCGATCTTGTGCGGGCACGGCTTCCTGCTGCACACGAAGACGGGGCTGACCTCGAAGCCGTACAGAAAATACTGGCCCACGAGGAAGCTGATCTCAAACGTAGTCCTGGCCAGGAGCTGCAGGACGTAAATCTTCATGAGGCCATCCTCCCGGATTCGCCGCCGGCCGTCGTGCTTGGCTTTGTCAGGGGGCTGCTGCTCTTTGTTCTCCCGCTCGCTCTCCAGCTCTATCTCTGGGTACATCATCGGGTCCTCCTCGTGGTCCTCCTCGGCCTCCTCCAAGCCACGGTGTTGTTTCCAGCGCACGGAGAAGCTTTTGCTTCGGGTCCTCCTGTCGGCTTCGCTGCGCTCCACCATGCGGGCGATCTTATGGATGGCGTAGCCCAGGTACATCACGGAGGGGGTGGCCACCAGAATGATCTGGAAGACCCAGAACCTCACGTGCGAGAGGGGGGCGAAGGCATCGTAGCACACGTTCTCGCAGCCCGGCTGCTCCGTGTTGCACACAAACTTGCTTTGCTCATCGTAATAGATGGACTCTCCTCCCACAGCAGTCAGGACGATGCGAAACACGATCAGCGCTGTCAGCCAGATCTTGCCAACAAAGGTGGAGTGATTGTGGATCTCCTCTAACAGGCGGGTCAGAAAACTCCAACTCATGGTGGTCAAATAATTTTTATCTAAAACAACAACCGAAAAAAGAAACCCCAAATATTTATTTCAGTTTGAGCCTAAACGGTGCAAACCCAGGAGAGTCAGGAAAGTGCAATTTCACAACCACGTCTGTGGTGTCACCTGTTATCGGGAGACTCCAGCTGCCAGAATGAGCTTGAAGGTCCTACGTCTCCTCCGCGGGCTTTTGAGAAGTCTGTGACAAAACAAAAGGAGCAGTGAAGAGCCACCTCCCAGAGCCAGCGTGCTGCTCTGCATTTCCAGCGCTAACAAAACCATTTCCCACCCGAGGCTGCAGCCCCCAAACGCAGCGGCTGGACAGCTAAGCTCCCAGAGATGTTCCCAGTCCCACCACCAACAGGGGGATTGACTTTAACTGCACAGAGGTGGCCAAGTCCTGTTAAATCTGCACGAGCCACCTGGGCCTTGGTCACAGCCCACAGAGAGGAGCTGCTCTCCCCACAGGAGAGGTAAAAATGAATCCCCCAGCCCTGAGGAGCAAGCAACTGCTGTCACCTTTGACGTAAAGGCAGGACACGCTGAGCAGTGCTACCCTGCAGGTCCAGCCTAGGGACAGGGCTTGGCCTCAGGAGCAGCTGACTTCATCCCTGATGCTCAAACTTTCCTATGGATTTGGGTTCAGGGCCTTAGGGAGGCTAAAAATCTCTGTTCCAGGGGAAGAAAAGACTGTAGCATGTATTTTGGAGGGTTTCTGGGACAATAAAAGGAAAATCTAGTTTAAAAATGTTATCTGTCAAAGATTTTAGAAGAGATATGAGATAGAAGTCAATATAAATTTGCACTCCTAACAATAAAAAAACAAATATCAGTGGAAACTTGCAGCTTGCCACACTGTGAAGTGTAACAGTGAGCAAAACTAGCGATGCTACGGGCCCACCTGGAGCTCTAAAGAGTCAAACTGGAAAATACTGAGCACAGGAGGAACGTCTGACATAGTTACAGCCCAGGGGACAAGCCACCTTTCAGTCCCCTGACGATGCCAAACATTCATTTGTCAAGCATTGTTAATAGAAATTTTCCCATTAGAACAACATTTGGTGAAAGAGCCGAAAAGCAGAACTGGACAAGTCTCTGGCACTCTGATCTTAAAAAGAGATTTATTCTTAACCCAGAGAAATTCCAGGAGCCTAGAAGAAAACTATTTGCAACAATTCAGCTTCCTCCATGTGACTACAGAGCTGCTCACAGGCAAAATAATGAAATTTGAGGGGACACGATCAGTAGAGAGTTAAAGGACAGAACTGCAATCCCCTCCTGGTGGAACTCAGCGTTTCACGGGGAAGGCAACAGCACAGACATAATGTGGATGGGCTGTGGAGGACATTTGATTTATTACTTTGTGACAGTGTGAGAAAAAAATAGTGCAAGGGAGTATTAAAAAAGCCCAAATTAAGTGGATTAAAAGTAACAAAGAGCTTGACAAATGAGTCCCACCTTAGGACCAAGAGCAACTGCAGGTAATTACAGCGAGTTGTGCAAAGCCCAGGAGCAGGCTTGGCACTGGGGCTGTGTTTTCCCCTGACTCGACCAGAAAATGGCTGCTGACAAATCTGCAAGCAGCACAGAAGTTTGCAGGCTGACAGATAAAGAGGAGAGTTACCAGTGATGCAGAAAAAAACCCAGACTGCTCGGGAGGCTGAGTGTGCTGAAACAAACCCAGCGCCTGCATGCAGAGGCGGGCGGCAAGGACCAGGGCAGCAGCAGGGTTTGGAAAGGGGATGGCAGTCAGCGTGAGGTGAGTTACTGGGGAAGGGAGGGAGGGTCCCCATGGAGCAGCAGCTCAGGGAGGGCTGGAGACACAGCAGAGGTGCCAGTGTGGCCCGTGTCACACGCAGGCCAGGGCCAGGAGGTGACCTTACCTCTGTGTCAGCCAGACAGCCCGCGCCCGCCACGGCATCCTTCAGGAGTTCCTCAAACATCAGGGAGGGAACACGGGCGTCTCGGAACCAGCTGGAGAACGGGGGAGATGCCTACAGGGGAGAGATGGAGAGGTCAACTTGTGTAGCTGGGAGACACAGGAAGAAAGTGAAGGATCACCAGGGAATCGCTGAATGTGGCCGTTGCCGATCCGAGGCTTACAGCCGTGGCTCTTCCTTCCACACAACCACGGCACCAGCACACCCCAGACAGAACTGGAGGCAAAACGGGTGGCAGAGCGAGTCCAGGGGTTCTCTACAAACCTGAGGAGACTCCAAGTTGCTCAACAGAAAAGGCCCCTCCCCAGCTGGAGCTGGGATCGCAGAGGTATGAGCCACAGCACTCACCTCCCCCCCAAGCTGCTCTGCCAGCCCAGTCACCAAGCACAAACTGAGCCAAAACCCAAGGGAGCTGAAGAAGGGGTTAATCTGCACTCACTGAAAATGTTAGGGCCAAACTCTGTTCTAAAAGTCAACTGCTAATTAAATTTGAAATTAATTAAATACCGTTGTCAATGTACATTTAGAATCATGGAATCATTAAGGTTGGAAAAGACCTCCAAGGTCATCAAGTCCAACCATCAACCCAACACTCCTATGACCACCAAACCATGTCCCTTCTTAACCCCTCCAGTGCTGTGGACTCCCCCACCTCCCTGGGCAGCCTGGGCCAAGGCCTCACCACTCTGCCAGGAGAGAAATTCTTCCCAAGATCCAACCAAAACTTCCCCTGGGGCAACTTCAGCCCATTGCCCCTTGTCCTATTGCTGGTTCCTTGGGAGCAGAGCCCAACCCCCACCTCACTCCAAGCTCCTGTCAGGCTTAGAGTAAACAGAGGAACCAGCCTTTCAGTTTTCAGCTGCTCTCCATGTTTATTACTCAGTGATGAACAACAGGGAAGTCTGACACGAGCGCTGGTGTCACCAAGAGCAGGGACACTGGACCTTTACTTTTAGACGAGCTGCAACCTCAACAGCTCACAAATTCTTCCAAGGCATCGATCAGCTTTGTTGGGTGGTTGTCTCCCTGCAGCCCCCACCCCTGTGGAAGCTCCCAGAGGTCACACCTCAGCCCCTGGCCACGTGGCTGCTGGAGGGCACGGCCCATTTGCCCAGCTTTGGAACCACGGGCAAGCACAGCCAGGATTCCACCAGCCCCAGAAGGGGTGGGACAGGCAGACAGACAGACAGACAGATGCTGACCACACAGACTTGCACACCGAGGTCAACCACTGCCTCTGGCCCTGGTGATGGGAGAGCTCTCCTTCTCCTCAGCAACAAAATGTCACTTCTTCTAAATTTAGTTCTAGTCCAGAGCGAAACTGCTGACAGGAATCTGGGAGAATCCACCAGCAGGCCAAGAACTTCTTTGTCTTCACAGAAACATTCTGGCTCCAGCCAGATGACCTGTCGTTAAAACGTTCTTCCACTGGAAACGTTCAGCCCATCCAAATTAAACATAATAAGAAAGCAACAAAGTTCTGGGCAGCGTCCTGGCCTGTGAGGCAGGAACCCTCCAGCTCTGTGAGCCAGGCCACGGTCAGAGGCTGCACGACCCTGCCCCTCACCACGTGTGACCTTCACCCAACGGGCAGGCGGCGGATCCCAGGCTCCTTGTTCTGACAACAGTTAACTCAATAACCTTCCACGGCTTGAGATGAAAGTCTATGGACGCTGACAGGCATCTGCAGAAGGCAAAATGTCAGCACTTTCAGCTCATTTAAGCCGTGCCAGAAAGTGCATTTGGGAGAGACTTTCACTCCGTGTATCTGTCAGGAGCTCAGCCCAGCAGCTCCCGCAGAAGAGGCTCCGCAGGGCGGGCAGGAGAAGACACCCCTGGCAGGAGAAGACACCCCTGGCAGGAGAAGATACCCCCTGGCAGGAGAAGACACCCCTGG